GTCTGGGGGGGTCTGGAGGGGTCTGGAAGGGTTTGGAAAGGTCTGGAGGAGTCTGGAAGGATCTGGAAGAATCTGGAGGGGTCTGAAAAGGTCCGGAAGGATCTGGAGGGGTCTGGAGGCGTCTGGAAGGATCTGGAAGGGTCTGGAGGGGTTTGGAAAGGTCTGGAAGGGACAGAGCTGCAGCTTTTGAGGTCACTGGGTTGGTCCAGCTGCAGAAGAGGGGTCTGAGGGCAGAGACCCCAGCCTGGAGCCCCCCCTCCCCCGGGACAGGAGCCGAGCAGTGGCTGGAGCTGGGCCAGGGATTTTTAGGTTGGATTTCAGGGAAAGGTTCTTCCCCCAGGGGCTCCCCAGGGAATGGGAACATTCCCAGAGCTCCAGGAGTCTTTGGACACCACCAGGGATGCCCAGGCTGGGATTTTGGGGTGTCTGTGCAGAGCCACTGGATGATCCTTCTCACTCAGAATATTCCACAATTCTACCCCTACACCTTCTCTGAAATTCAGGATTTCCTCACTCTCAACAGCCCCTCCCTGCTCAAAACCTGGATCCTAAACCAGGATATTTTTATTTCCACGGGAAGCAATTTTTTTGTTTGTTTTTTTGGGGTTTTTTTTACAAAAAAACCCCAAACTCCTGCTGTGGCCAGCAGGGATGGCCCCAGTCCCTCCTGTCCTGTCCTGTCCCCTGTGTCACCTCCCCTGTGCCAGCAGAGCAGATTTCCCTGTCATTGGATCCCCAGATTCCAGCAGTGTCCCACTGCTCTGCATCCTCATTTTCATCCTCATCCTCATCCCTGGCTGGTCCTGCCATGGATGGCTCCTATCAACCACAATCCAGGTTAAAAATCATCATTTCTGACCAGAACAAAACAAAATCCAGGTTAAAAATCATCATTTCTGCCCAGAATATTTTGTCCTGGTTGTGCCAGGAATGACTCCTACCAAACACAATCCAAACTAAAAATCACCATTTCTGCCCAGAATATTTGCATTGATTGACCCTGCCAGGGATGGCTCCTACCAACCAAAATCCAGATTTAAAATCCCCATTTCTGCACAGAATATTTCACCCTGGCTGACCCTGCCAGGGATGGCTGTACCAAACACGATCCAGATTACAAA